TATTGTTTAAATTGGTTTGATGTTCCGAAACACTTAAGTGTGACAAACATGCAAAAAAACAGCAAATGAGGAAGGGGGCAAACACTTTTTCACACCACTGTACCTCTCTGATGGTATGGAGGTGCATTAGTGCCTCTAGCACTATGCGGGCAGCTTATACATCTGGAAAAACATCATAAATGCAGAAAAGTATGTAGAGGTTTTAGAGCAATGTGAAAAACAACAAGACTGTCACAACTTTTCTGAAATGTGTTTTTTGTGTCTCAGTTTAAACGTTTGATGTTTACTTTCTTTCAGTGTAAATAAAATATTTGCCAATCATTACATTTTTTAAAATTTACATTTTACACAACATTTCCAGCATTTTTTAAAATTAGGGGTTGTTTATAACTATGTGGATGAGATCTGGAGTTGCCTCAATGAATTCAGTTGCTAAACAGGCTTCAGGTGTTTCTGAAATCTAAAACCCTGTCCTGTGATGGTCTGTTTTTTTCAGGGACATTTATTACTGAGTGGGCTGACGGAGCTGCAGTGTGCGAGAGCTTTCTGAGCGACGAGGAGTCCTATAGGGCCGTGGCTGATAAACTGGTCCAGATCAGTCAGTATTATGGCTTTGAAGGCTGGCTTGTTAACATAGAAAACTCCCTCAGTGTAAGTTACACGTGACTGTCTGTCATCATCATAACACACAACAACACTTCTTAATGCTCGCTGTCGATGGTGTTTTTGCTCACGTCTGTGTGTTAGTTTCCAGTGTTAGCAAAATATCTCTTGAACCAGTCAACAGATATTCTGAAGGTAATAGTTTAGTCTGGGTTGGAGCTCTGTGGGATCAGAGACTGGTTCAGGTTCAAATTCTCTCTAAATCTTGGAGAATTGTTTCCTCCTCAGCCCCTGTCTCATGTGGAGTTCTCCAAGGATCCACTCTCGGTCCTGTTTTATTTCCCAACTATGTGCTGCCTTTAGGCTCTGTTTTAAGAAAATTTACCATCTCTCTTCATTCTTACACAGAAGAAACTGATTTAGTTGAACCACAATCAATCTTTTTCACTGAAACCACCGTTTGACTGCCTCACTGAGGTAAAAGCTTAGATGACTTTAAACTTGTTACATTTTAATAAAAATAAAACTGAAGTTACTGAAGTGCAAACTGAAGCGTTTCTGCAGATCTGGGCACCTTGAAGGCTTTTGTAAAATCTCATCTTAAAAGTTTGGGTCTGATATTTGATTCATATTTTAAGCTTGAGAAACAGATCAGGGGTCGGATTTATAAAACTGGCGTACGCACAATTTGAGCCCAGAAACTTGCGTACGCCACTTTTTACACCAAGGTTGTGATTTATAAAATCCAAACTTGACGTGAAAATGTGCGGTGCCTCACGCCAGCTCTGACCCATGTGTACGCTCATTTTGGAGACGTGGAACTGCGACACAGATGGTGAAGTGAGGAATTACAGTATAGCCACACTGTGTAATGATCACTGTCAGAGATTTAATTTCACTTCATCAGACTTAGATTTTTATTCAACTTTATCA